CCCCCCCCGGGTTTGGCGCCAGACTCCCGCGGTATCGAATAGCCCCAGTGCGGCTGGCGGCGGGGTCAGCGGGGCTATAAATAGCGGGGGGGGCGGGGGGGCGTCACTTGGGCCGCAGGTGCTGAACTGGGGGTGCTCCCCGCCCCCCCGGCGTGACGTGGTTTCCCTCAGGGGCGGGGTTAGAGTTTGGTTCACTGGCTCTCGCCCCCCCCCCCGCTTGGCGCCTCAGGGGCCGCGTGGGGACCGCGGGCTGCGCGCTGCCGGAGGGGGCGGGAGCGCGCGCATGACTTGGGGTCACAGCCTGGCGGCCAGGTCACGTGCCAGGCGCCCTGGGGCTGGCTAGGCTAATTACCAGCGCAGAGACACGCACAGGGGGCGCCATCCCCCAACCGCCATTGGCTCCCGCATCGCCGCTCGTGCCGCCCAGCCTGGGGGGGGGGCAGACGCGCATAGAGACTACAGCTCCCAGCATGCAGCCCTACGGCATTTGACTTCCGCCGTCAGGCTCGGAACACGTGACCGGAAGGGCGTCGCCTCTTGGGAAAGGTCACTGGGGTAGGTAGGGGGCTGAGGGCGGGGTGAGCGCGAGGCGTCCGACCCGGAACAGCAACCGACCCCGGCGTCTCTGAGACGGCCCCGGCAGCAGGTGAGGGTCGCGCGGGGAGCTGGCCCCGCCCTGCCGCTCGTGGCGCCGCCGGCAGCGTCTCGCGGGGACGGGGGGCGTCGCTCGCTCCGTGCGGCGGTGGGAAGCCGCGCTCAGTGTCCGCCCTGGACGGGCCCTCGGCTGCGCGCCGGGCGTGACCGCCGCGACTCGGGGGCCCGCGGCCAGGGGCAGCCCGGGGGCCTCGGGCGGTCACAGACTCCGCGTGCTCTGGCCAGCAGCGCCCCGCGCTCCCTGCCGGCCCCGCGTGCCTGAGACCGGCCTTGTGCTTTGCAGGGGCAAGGATGGTCTCCGCCAAGCAGCTAGCGGACTTCGGGTACAAGGCCTTCTCCGGCTCCATGATGCTTCTGACCGTCTACGGGGGCTATCTCTGCAGCGCCAGAGTTTACCGTTACTTCCAGCGCCAAAAAGCCCTGAAGCAGCTTGAACAGAACCCGCTAAACCCGGGGGCCATGGAAGACTGAATGCTGCTCCCTGGCTGACCGCCTGCTGAGAGACATTTAATGAGCAGCGCGGAGGCTGTGTTGAGATTACTTCTGCTGCAGTAATCAGGTAGCAAGTGCAACCCTTCCAGATCACAGATGAGGGCTAGCTTAGATCATCCGGGGTTTTCCTCCCGCACACGACGGTGTCTTGTTTCTCTGCACTAGCGAGAGGTTACAAAGTAACTCTGTGTAAGCATGTTTTGATCATGTGATAATTAAATATTTTACTTATTTATCCTCTTGTCAATATGTGACTAGAACCACCTGGGTGAAGGAGCAAGTCATTTAAATCAACACCAATACACAATTTTACTCAAAACCCTTCACAGTGGGGATGTCTGCCTTGACCTGTTCTTCTAAAATTCTCCTCTCCCAAGCCAGCAAACTGAATAGCTGCAGGTTGAGGGAGACTGTAGCTGCCCCCCTGTAATGCTTCAATGGAGACTTTACCTACACGGATTGGAGGGGTTCTCCAGGCAGCGTAGGTAATCCACCTACCTGAGAGGCGGTAGCTAGGTCAATAAGGCTATGTCTACACTACCGTGGTAAGTTGACCTATGCTATGCAAATAATGTAGCGGGAGTCAACATAGAATCATAGAACTGGAAGGGACCTCAAGAGATCATCTAGTCCAGTCCCCTGCATTCAAAGCAGGACTAAGTATTATCTAGACCATCCCTGCCAGGTGTTTGTCCAACCTGCTCTTAAAAATCCCCAATGATGGAGATTCCACAACCTCCCTGGGCAATTTATTCCAATGCTTAACCACTCTGACAGTTAGGAAGTTTTTCCTAATGTCCAACCTAACCCACCCTTGTTGCAGTTTAATCCCATTGCTTCTTGTCCTATTCTCAGAGGTTAAAAACAATAATTTTTCTCCCTTCTCCTTGTAACAACCTTTTATGTACTTGAAAACTGTTATGTCCCCTCTGTCTTCTCCAGACTAAACAATTTTTTTCAATCTTCCCTCATAGATCATGTTTTCTAGACCTTTAATCTTCTCTCCAATTTGTCCACATCTTTCCTGAAATGTGGCGCCCAGAACTGGACACAATACTCCAGTTAAGGCCTAATCAGTGCGGAAGAATTACTTCTGGTGTCTTGCTTACAACATTCCTGCTAAATCATCATTTTGGGATGTATGTTTTTTTTGCAACAGCATTACACTGTTGACTCATTTAGTTTGTGATCCACTATGACCCCCCAGATCCCTTTCCAAGGCAATCATTTCCCCTTTTGTATGTGTGCAACTGATTGTTCCTTCCGAAGTGGAGGACTTTGCATTTGTCTTTATTGAATTTCATCCTATTCAGACCATTTCTCCAGTTTGTCCAGATCATTTTGATCCTATCCTCCAAAGTATTTGCAACCCCTCCCTGCTTGGTATCATCTGCAAACTTTATAAGTGTACTCTCTATGCCATTATCCTAAGCATTGATGAAGATATTGAACAGAACCAGACCCAGAACTGATCCGTGGAGGTCCCCACTCATGCCCTTCCAGCATGACTGTGAACCACTGATAACTACTCTTGGGGAATGCGTTTCCAACCAGTTATGCACCCACATTATAGTAGCTCCATCTAGGTTGTTTATGAGGTGGTCATGCAAGACAGTATTGAAAGCCTTACTAAAGTTAAGATATACCGCTTCCCCCAATCCACAAAGCTTGTTATCCTGTCAAAGAAAGCTATCAGGTTGGTTTGACACTATTTGTTCTTGACAAATCCATGCTGTTATTTATCACCTTATCTTCTAGGTGTTTGCAAATTGATTGCTTAATTATTTGCTCCATTATCTTTCTGGGTACAGAAGTTTAAGATGACTTCTCTGTAATTCCCTGGGTTGTTCTTATTTCCCTTTTTATAGATGGGCACTATATTTTCCCTTTTCCAGTCTTCTGGAATGTCTCCTGTCTTTCATGACTTTTCAAAGATAACAGGAGTACTTGTGGCACCTTAGAGACTAACAAATTTATTTGCATAAGCTTATGCTCAAATAAATTTGTTAGTCTCTAAGTACTCCAGTTCTTTTTGCGGATACAGACTAACACAGCTGCTATTCTGAAACTTTTCAAAGATAATTTCGAATGGCTCAGATATATCTCCTCAGTCTGCTCCTTGAGTATTCTAGGATGCATTTCATCAGGCCCTGGTAATTTGAAGACATCGAACTTGTTCTTTCCCTATTTTAGACTCTGATCCTACCTCATTTTTATTGGCATTCACTATGTTAGACATCCAATCACCACCAACCTTCTTGGTGAAAATTGAAACACAGAAGTACTTAAGCCTTCTGCCATTTCTACATTTTCTGTTGTCTTTTCCCCCCCTCAGGTCTACTGTCCCTAGTCTTCCTCTTGCTTCTAATGTATTTGTAGAATGTTTTTTTGTTTCCTTCGAAGTCCCAAGCTAGTTTGATCTTGTTTTGTGCCTTGAGCTTTTCTAATTTTGTCCCTACATACTCATGTTATTTGTTTATATTCATCCTTTGTAATTTGACCAAGTTTCCACTTTTTGTAGGACTCTTTATTTGAGTTTTAGATCATTGAAGATCTCCTGGTTAAACCAGTGTGGTCTCTTGCCCTACTTCCTCTCTTTCCTATGTAATGGGATAGTTTGCTCTTGTGCCCTTAATAATGTCTCTTTGAAAAACTGCCAACTGTCTTCAATTGTTTTTTCCCCTTAGACTTGCTTCTCATGGGATTTTACCTACCAACTCCTGGAGTTTGCTAAAGTCTCCTTTCTTGAAATCCATTGTCTTTAGTGTGCTGTTCTCCCTCCTACCATTCCTTAGAATCATGATAATTTTCACCCAAGTTGTCTTCCACTTTCAAATTCTCAACCAGTTCCTCATTATTTGTCAAAAATCAAATCTAGTACATCCTCCCCCCCAGTAGTTTTCTCCACCTTGTGAAATAAAAAATTGTCTCCAATACATTCTAAGAACTTGTTGGATAATCTGTGCCCTGCTGTGTTATTTTCCCAACAGATGTTTGGGTAGGTTGAGTTACCATGGGGTCTACACGAGAAACTCCCTCGTTGACTTACCTTACTCTTCTCATCCGGCAAAGTACAGGGGTTGACTGTAGAGGAATCTGCTGTAGATTTGGTGGGTCTTCACTAGACCCATTAAATCGACTGCCAGTGGATTGATGTCAGAGTGTGGATCCCAGCTGTAATGTAGATGTAGTCTAGTAGAATTCTCCCATTGACTTAACTCCTGGTGTAGACAGTTTAACTGCATTGCTCAGGGCTGTGGATTTTTCACACTGCTGAGTGATAGTTATACTGACCTAATTTCCTAGTGTAGACTCAAACTGAGGAAGTGGAGAGCAAATTAGATTTTGTAACCAATGGTTTGACAGCCACAGTAAAGTCTTCCAGTCACCAAACCGTCCAGAAATGCATGAATTTGATAGTCATGAGTCCTCCTCCCTATTGCCAGACACTCACTTCCACAAGCTTAATTTGTAGAGTTTCATTTCAATGTTAGACAGTTCTGAGATTAAAAGTGGCAAATTCTTACAAGAACTTTCCTTTATTTGGAAAAAAATTGTGGATGGTGGAGTTTGCTGTAGTTTCTGGTCTGAACACTAAGACTTTGGGCTGTTTTATCTCAATGCTACTAGAGTAACAGTGCTATAAAACAGGTGAAGTAGCAGCTGCCAGTTCCTCTTATTAACTTTAGAATTTCCTTAATTGAAGTATGTGTAAGTATTTCTCTAAAGATAGTATGAAGTGGAAGTAGATTTGGTAAAGGCTACTTGGGAAAGCATTTGGCCATACTAGACATGGTAATGGAAATGCAGCAGAGACCATCTTCTAGAAAGAAAACATCTTACTTTGGTTGAGTGGAACAACTAAGAAGATGAGGCTTCATACAAGTTTTATCCTGTATACTTGTCTAAAGAGTCAAAGAAAATTAAAGCTAGATTACTAAGTCTATTCCAAGAAAATAAAGTGGTATTAGGTATCTGCTTTAAAAAAAACCTCAAATTTGAACTCTACATTGATAAATGTAAGCTTGATACCCAGTACACACAAGGTTCTCCTGCCATAGATATACTTGAGTAGAATGCATAGTGAAAGTTCAGCACAAGAAGGGAGTTCAGTGAGGTACACTGAATAAAAGTCATTAGAGCTAGGGCTAATGAAAATATTCATGAAGGTAATTTGTTAAACTTTGCACACAGTGAATAATTTTCTAAATGTGTATGAAGAGCATGACACTTGATTAAAGCTCATTTGACCTGTGGTCCAAGCATCCTAACTGGCACTTAAGTGAAGCACAGAATCTTAAACAGTATTCTCTCATTTGATTCAGCTGTTCCTACCAGCACCATTCTGCCTAGCGTATTAGGGGGTTCACTAGTTTAGAAGCAACTCAACAAGAAGAGCAATACTACAACTTTCTGCAATGTATAGGAGTTCTTATTTATATGCCAAACTTGCTCAATATGTCAAGGTGAGATGTTTACAAAGCAGGGGCAGCTGCCTTCTTAGAGAAATGCAGTAAAAATGCAAGTCAAACCAGTTTCTGAAGCTTTTTTTAATCAGATAAGAGTAAACAATTGTATAAAATAACTCAAGAAATTTCTGAAGTCCTGCACATGATTATGACACATTCAGGTGTCTTCCATTGCCCCTGAAGTACCATTGAGTAAAGAAAGAAGTGAAGCCTCTGCTGTCCTGATTTCCGAAGTCAGTGGGCTGGAAAGGCAGCTGCAGCAATGCTCACTTCTGTCTTAAAAAATACACAGGCAGGGCTGCAAACTCTGCCTGTGTGGAAAGTTAATATAACCCACCAGCATTGCTCCATCTGTGGCTAATGGCCTGTCTTATAAATCTAACCAACCACATCCCGTAACTCCTTTAAATTCACATGAGTTGCAGGTATGCATGTGCTGTGATAGTTTTCTTAATTAGGGGCAGGAGTGCAACATTTTTAAGACTTTGGAGGGGCATTTCAGCACCACAACAGGCAGCAAATACCACTTGGTCCATCTTAACAGCACAGATTATAAACTATAATCTCTTTAGCACATAGCATCCAAATGGCAAGTTAAAACATGCTTTGTCCATCACAATCTGATTCAATGCATGGCTGTAACACAGTCACAGCAGGACTGATAATTTAAACATGATTTAAAAAAACTTCTGTGCTACAGCCTGGGCAGCTTACAGCATGATGGATCTGAGAGATACTAGACCACACAATCTAAATGGATCCTGGA